AGTAGATGTATTAAATTAATCCGCCCTATGTTAAGAAAGGTAGAGGTAGACCTAAAAAGACTTAGTTAGAAAGTATTAAAATGATCTTTTTTATTAGATTTAAGTGAGAATTTGACTCTTAATAGGACACAATAGGGAACAAGGATTCATATAGCCGAACACACATAGTGAGATAAAGGTTCGTTGTTGTTATGGTGGTGGTGGTGATTGGAAGTATAATTGTTAGTTTCAATTATACAACCAAAAATCAAAGTGTATGTTACTTTCCAAGGAGGTTAGCATAAGAAAAGTTGGTTTCGATAACTTGAAAAATATTTCATTTTCTATTGCGTCAGAACTGTTTGCAACATAATTACAAAAAAATAGTTTATAGGATCCCAAACCCAAGTGAGGTAATATCTAACCGCATGACAATGCCCCCTAATCATCGCCAATCTGATTGTCTAAAATTATAGGATTAATATGGAAGCTCAAATTTACTATGCAAGTAAATTGATCCAAAATAAACCTATTTGATCTGTTTATGCTAATTCTATTTTTTAATAGTCAATTTCAGTTTTGATGAACAAAAACTACTAATTGGGGTTGATTTTGAATTCTTAGTGTTGTCGAGATGCATCAAATGACTAGTTTGTACATATATTCTTTTTCAAATAATGTAGTTTAATACATACTATGTTGATATAGTTAAGTTCCTTATAAACATTGCATTCACCTTCTATTTGCCTTATCTACTTTAACAAGCTTAATCTACGAAATGACAGAAGTCACAGAACCCAAAATTACTTTTGTGGTTTAGAAGGGTTCAACAGTAAAAATAGTCAATTTGATTAGGGCTTCAAACTATCAGATTCGAAAGAGGTCATTCATATTTGGGTTAGATGTGATACAATCTAATTCTATCAGACACCTGATAACTAATCAACCATAAAAAAATTATTTAAATCAAACCAAAAAAAACACCATAATTTTGATTAGTAAGTTCCCCTCTTGATCCTTTCAGTTTATAGTGTAAAAAATAACCTAGCCCTCGTCAAAAAGGAGTAAGGCATATATAAATTTTATGATTGCACAATATTTGCTGTTTAATATTTCACAGCATACTTTTGATAAGAAGGAAAAGTAAGAATCCAGAAAAAAATATGAAAATAAATTGAGAAAAAGGAAGATCATTTTAATAAAGGATTTCCTAAATAATCTGACTAAGCCAAATAATATTACCAACTATAGTTTGCTTACATTTCAACAGCCAAATTGCTAAAGAAAATAACAGACCAATTCAAGGATGAAGGATACCGGCAGAGACTATGACAAAAAATGTTACTTACAATGCACAATAATTTTATCAGGAAATGATTTAGCAAATTGGTTTGCCCCAAACAGCCAGTCAGTAGTACTGCAAAAAGAATATGCCACTGTAAACAATCTGGCTATAAAGAAAAAAACTAATCATGAAATCTAGAATAACTTTTTATTAAACAATGACTTCAAAACGTAGAAAATTAGTTGTAGCACCTGCTAAGAGAAATTTTATTAAGATTTCAATGCTAGGTTACTTTGAGATTACTAATAGAATTCAGGAATCATAAATCAGTTGTTCTCTATAAAGTTCATGAAATAACTCCAAATGAAATCCGTCTCCCAATTAAAACTCGAATATGCCTACATCTTGTTTATATTCCCCGCATTCTAGCTAATGTATTATTACTTTACAACATTTTAATTGGGTTCAAAATTAGTAACTTGTCCAAATGACTAGATTGTGTTTATGTAAGTCAAAAGTGTTTGTATTTCGTTTTGAAATTAACTTCAAGCATTTATTTCGTAAAAAGTGGATGAAACCATGATAGTTCAAGTCCAACTTTTTACACCAAGTTCTTTGTTACATACCCTTAACCCTCTTTACCTTCATAAATCTTGAAGTGATAAATTATGTGGTGGCCATAAATCCATGATAATTAAAATGAATAAATGCTTTATTTTGTAATAACATCACACAATCATTTTTAAAACAAATAATTTTTTTTTTTGCTATTGTTAGCCGTTTACTCATATCATTAGATTTTGTATAAGATTGGTGCAATTTTCATAAAAAAATAATTATTTTCTTCTATAAATTGTATAAAATACCTGTATTATTTTGTTCTAGAAAATATAACAAAGTACTTATTGAATAATGTCTAACCCTAATTTTTTTTTTCTCTGGTATCATGTTCATATAAAAAGAACATAACAATAAAAAAAACAACAACCAGCTTCCAAGTAAACAATTTTAGCAGATCCATTACTTACAGAATCATCGAGTAAGGTTCGTCAAGAAAAAAAAAAATGTTACAATTATCTGTAAGCATGGAAAGGAAAAAGGGATTCATGTGAACCCAAAGATAATATTATTTGAATAAGAAGAATTCTCACTACCTGCACTACAATCAAACAACTAATCAACAACATAAGCTTAAACTTCGAATTCTAAAAGAATACCATTCAAATTGATCAAATAAATGATAAAGAACCACAGCAATTCGCAATTAGAAATCCCGAATCTCACAAAATAAACAGTTCAAGTAAAAAATCCCTAGTTTGCCTTTCAGGAATCATGACTGTCGTTAGAAGTCACCTGCCGAGGATTCCGTGGACCATTACAACAAGATGGTCGGGCGGTGATGGGGAGAGCTCGGGACAAGAGCTCCACATGTCCAGACCTCCATCGGGATTATCCTCTGAGCTAACTACTCCATCTAGCTCGTAGCTCATCTTTCCCTGCTCCGCAATCAGTAGTACATTACTGATCAATGAATCAATCCAGAAACTCAGGAGGGAAGGAGGGAGGGAGAGAGAGAGAGAGAGAGGGGGAAGAACGCTTGCCGATACTGTTGATGCTTACCCGATCTAACAGACTTAAAAAAACGGGATTTTGCATTAATAACAATTAAGATTATCCTATTTCAACGTTTAATATTTGTTAAACTAATATTTCGTTTACACCCATCCTCTCTCTCTCTCTGTACTCAAAATACTCAAACCTCAAACCCAGTGATCGAAATACTGAAACTCTTAAGAATAAAGAGGAGGTAAGAAAATCTCAACAAGACGTCACTTCCAGCAAAATCTCACGGTTAAAGTCATCAACGACACGGCTACATGCCAAGGAAATGAGGAATTCACATGCGCCACATGAGCGATAAGTGACAGAAAGCTAAATGAGAAGTGCCCTTTTTAGGGAAAACTATTAGGTCTGAACACCGGACATTGAGATAGGTCCTAACATCCATAAAAAATTTGACACATATAGTACACTTTAGTTGTGTTTTTTCATGCGCTTTGCTTGTGTTTTACCTAGACTTTAGTTACACTTTAGTTGTGCTTTAAGTACGCTTTTTGACTGCACTTTATCTGTGCTCTACCTACGATTTAGTTGCGCTTTAAATATTCTTTTTGACTGCGCTTTAGTAGTGTTTTTGGTGCACTTAACTTAAAGTTCTGCTGACACATTAAATATATTGAATATCCACATGTCCACTCCACGTGTCAATATTTTATTGACTTCTAGACCTATCTTTACGTCCAGTGTCCGGATCTAATAATTTTTCCTTTTTTAAAGGGAGGAAATAAATGAAAAATTAGGAAAACATTTTTTATATTATTTAAAGAATTAAATATTATATGAATAAATAAATATTTTAAATACTAGATATATAAATAAAAGAATTACGAATATTAGGCATGTAAATGTCATTAAAATTTTATTTCTAGCATTAAAATATTCTAATATAGTACAAAAAATATGACTAATGATAAAAAACATATTTAAAAAAAGTTATCTTGATATTTATTATTTTATCATAAATTTTATATCAAATATCTTCTTTTTATATATTATATTAAAATTGAAATCATTCGATTTTTATATTTTAATGAAAGAGAAACTTCATGATTTTACTTATTTGAGTTCAGTCTAATCGGGAATTAATGTTAGGACGATTCTGCTGATCCAAATAAAAAAAATCCTCATATTATTAGCAGTCGGGACATTCTATCTATTTGAATTTTAAATAGTTTATATAGTAATTATATTAAAAGATATTACGGTTCAAATGATAAATTTAAATTAAACTATATCAATCAAAACTTAAGGATTCATTTTCACTAGTTAGTTAGCAACAACTTATAAAAATGAAAACTCGAAGGTTATGTAAATCATAGTTTTTTTTCTCCGCAATTTTGGAGTTTTTTAAAGAAAAAAATAGAGAGTTAAAAAAGATAGCTGGGTTTAAGAGAGAAGAGAGAGGAGAAATATAGATTGACTTCTATTTTTTAGCTTACTAATTTCTAGTAAATTATGCTTTTATGCTAACCTCTTCCCTGTATAGATAAAAATTAGCCTCTTGAAAGCGTGAGGCGATAGCACAATATATGGAGGGAGAGAGAGAGGGTGTAAAGGAGTTTAAGGGGAAAATTATTACGTCCGGTGTCCGGATTCGCCCGGACACCAATCTAGACGTGTTACGTCACTGAGATACACCCGGGTCCAATGTATCCGGATAACATGACGCATCTGAATTGATGTCCGGACGGTCCGGTCACCAGACGTAATAATTCACTTAAGGACGGCATTTTCTAAATGAGGCTACAAGCCTACAACAATTATGAAATAAAGGATAACTTGTTACGATTGTTAATGAAAGAGAAGAATCGGGTGAGGTTGAGCTTTTAGAAGTGACAGAAGAGAGACTGAGAGTTGAGGGTGGATATATGCTCGTAACGAGGAAAAAAATGTAAGATTGAAAATTTGTATTGTAAAAGCTGCTTATCAATAAGTCATAAAAAGCTAGCATTTACAAATGTGAACGCATATATTGACAACAATCTAAATAGAACTGAAAAGGGGGGAAAAAAAAATTCAATTATTTTCTTAAGCCTCCTCGGATCCCTTTTTAGAGAGCCACACTAAACTTAAAAACATCCATATCAGACTATCAGAGAGAGGTCAGATCAGGCCAAGTTAAATCATTATTTGCCACTGTTATAAGAGAGGAATCTTAAAAAGGTATCAACTACGAAGAAGTTATACATTTTTTTTTTCAGCTGATGCAGTAATTACAACAAAAGAGTAATAAATTTCACTATAGTATACCTGCAACTTTTTTATGGGTGATAAAAATTCAAAATTTATGCGTTCTATTGGCCAAAAAATTAGAAAAAAGAAAATTTTACAAAAAAAGGCCACAGCTTTTGAGCCTAATTAGGAGCTAGAATTCGCACCTAATAAATAATGCGCCTAAACAATAAAATGTATAACTCTTGAAAATTTCCAGCAGGAAGCTTTTGAAATATAATTCAAGAACCGGGCGGAAAATACGGATATCGAAAAATCACAATTCTGCTTTGGATTCCAAGTCATCTTTCTTATCAGTGTCTGTAGAAGAAGGGATTTGTTGAATCTCCAACTCTTCCCCTAATACTCTTGATGTGAGTAGTCTTGCCTCAGCATCAAGATCAACCCACTCTGGAACTATTCTTTTAGCACTCTGAAGAAGAAGAAGAACATAAACATTCTTAGGAAAAAGATATTATATCAAGTAAGATTTAAAAAATTTAAGATTTAAATATTATATCAAAATTTTAGTCAAATGGGGCTCAGGAGTTTATTAGTTTTCTCTTATAGATAAATACAATGCATGAGAAATTAGTAAAAATGTATAATACACTCATCACAAAATAAGCTAAATGATTTCAAGAGCCATCATTATCTTGAAACTTCATTCTCATATCTTGAGCCATTTTTTATTTCTTTTTTGTAAATCTTGTAAATCTAATTTAGTAAATTCTGAAGGTGTTCAGTCCTGAAAATAGTTTCGCATAATGGATCTTCAATCTGGTTCATAGTAATAAATTATTTGACAAATATTATTTATGATTAAGGATTTTTAAAAAAGAAGTAAAATGAAGAGAAGTGTAAAACACGTAGATCTTGCTAGCCCCAGCTTTACAAAATTCAAGCTTTAGCATAAAATGCGAGGAATAAGAGATGTAAGATTTATTAAATCCCAGCTAAATCTTACAAACAAACAGCTCCATCGGGTAGAAGGAAAAAGAGAAAAGCCGGCAGCAGATATAATTCCTGGTTATTTAGAATAGTACCTGGAGTTTTGGTTCCTTGGTCATTGGATTGTTACAGAGATCAATGGTTTTAGCCTTAAACTTTGTCGAATTTCCGCACCAAGATTCACACCAAAGCCATTCTTGAGGAAGGGAAAATATCGGTACTGTGTGCTGAGCATAGTTTGGTAAATCCTGAAAATCAAACAAATGTTTTAAGTTGTGCTTGTTTATGACATAAACAGGCTTAATCTAAAAGCGTAATGAAAGAAAGACCAAGAGAGGTCGGAAGACTTCAATAAAAAAAAAATACAAATGGCTAATATTGCAGTCCACCAGCTCAAATGTTTCTACCCCCTGAAAATATTCTTCTTTCTTTTTCTTTATTTAAAAAAAAAATGGATATGAATATCTTAACCTAAATTAGTTCAAGATGGATCTTAGAACAACTGATTTGCATTGAGATTAATGTAATATAAATTTTGATTGATTAATCATATATTGCATTCATCTCATAACAAATATAATACTTATAAATCCAATTATCTTGATCAAAATGTTTTCCAATCATAAAATAGTAGCATAAATTTGGAATCCCCAACTACAAAACTATGCCAAAATTTAATCAGCCCAATTGCAAGAAAAATTCAAATTCAATAAAGAGCAGTACGTTCCATATATAAATAATTTATATCTAAGACAAAAGCTACTTAAACAAACAATAAAAAATGGAAAACAATCAGATAGTCATGGTATATAATAGCCGCTTTTACTAGAAAGAATTATATCAAAAAATACCAAAAGATGGAGAAAGCTTTGTCAAATTATTAAAATATTTCTTCCAAGCTAAATAATATTTCTATTTCCAAATGCTCAATTTGAATAGACATAGTGAGCATCAGGTTCAGAAAGAAAAGATAGATGTATATCACCTGGTCAAGATTGGAAAGGCTATTTGGGTCTTTACTAAGGGTCTCATAATATACCCTTAGCGTGTCTCCTGCTGCCATTTGCCTAAATTTCACCAAATCAACAACATACAGAGCGCTGATGGAAAATAGAAAAAATTATATTAGAAAGGTTATAATAAAAAAGATATATATCATCTGCTAAGGATATAAGATAAAAATTTTTGCACCTTATATGATATGGCCTTCCACGTAAATGGTCCTTCCAAAAACCCTTCATAGTTAAAACAATCATGTGATTAGAAATTGGGAAAAAATAAAGAAAAGGTTGCCATACAGAAATATAATGAACATTTATAACACTGACTTGTCTCCAGAAACGGTATCCATCCATATCTTTATTGTTGTCACAGAAGGGTGTATAAGCAAGGGGCTTCCCTTTCAGATCCATGTCATACAGTATTCCCATATCTGTTCTTACAATTTGATCAGCATCGACAAATATTACCTGCATAGATGTACAAGAATAACGTCAAAAATTACGCCCCAACTATCCCAGTTAGACATTACAAGAAGTGTGAATTTCATATCATTTTGATGAGAACCACTGTAACAAAGAGCACAAGTACCTTCTTCAGAGAAATCGGAAAAATTACATCAAGAAATAAGATTTTGTAGGCCCATATTATTCGTTGTTTCTCTTTCTGTTTATGTAACCATGTAGGCCACTTGTATGTGATGAGTTCATACTCAAATCCATATTCCTGTGCCATGTGGGGTATTACGTCCTACATAGAATGTAAACAAAAAATGTGAACATACAAAAAAGGTAACAATCCATTTTTATTAAAAAACTTGCTAAAGAAAAAAAGACCATATACTTTAAACTGAGGAGAAAGGTAGTTCTTGATGAACCAAAACTTCACTGGCCTTCGAGTGTTCTTAAGAACACTTAGTATCATGATTTTAAGAAAGCGTTCATACCTGGAAAACAAAAGAATATAATTCCAACGGCAAATAATAGCCTTCAATTAGTAGAAAACTCTATTTGGAGTAATAGTTTAGAGAGATATTAGATACCATTCATACTTACAAATGGCCAGATGCAACTGAGAATATATTTATTGTTTCTCCATGTCTTATAATCTTCTTGTTATCCTAGCATAGTTGCCCAGAAAATTAGAAAGAAACAAAGCAATTATCGCAAGTAATGTTTCTTGAAAGTTTAAGCAGTAGAATTCATCTCTTGAGTTCATTCACAAAAATGCATATATACATAATAATTGATCAGAAAACACAAACAAACTTAAAAAAAAAAAAATCTATTTCAACAGTCTTCAGATGAAGTAAAAAAGTACACATATCGTGCAGCCCATCTTGACCTAATAGTTGGGTGCTTTTGTTCAAGCCATAAGGTCTTTGATTCAAGGCCTAATGTATACGAATGTGTGCGTAAGTATCCCCAATGCCACTTCCCCGCCCAAATAAGTATAGGTATCAATGGAAAAAGCTGATCAAAGTTTCTGAAGTACGTGAAATTCAGGCAAGGCATTTAGCAGTTCAATTCTATTTTTAAAGCAATTTGCAGTTGGGTCCAAGCAATTTGCTTGATTTTAGGAGGACAATGAAATTAAGTCACATCTGGGTTGGTTTGTTTGATTTTATTTTTTTTCAAAATATTAGGCAAAACTTATAGCCAAGAAACTAAAAAATAAGTACACAAAGCAGGAGGAAAAAGGTGCAGAGCAAAACGGCATAAAACATAAATATACCTAGAAGTTTGAACTTAAAATATCAAGCTTAAAAAATAATAGACATTAAAAGAAGCTTGCCATAGAATTTAGGAGAAAAAGCAATATTGTTACTTACTGAAGAATTCTCATTTCTCTTCCTCGAGAGACCATTACCAGCAATAAAACCAGAAGCCCACTTTAGTAGGTTAGCATTCCAACCAGTATGATCATCCTGAAGGAGTAAAAAGGTTTCACATTGCCCAGCATACAAGTGCCTGAATAATTATACATTCAGAAGAATATATATAGACATACTTTCTTGTTCTTAAGAGGGTCATCAGAGCCGCTTAATAGTTCAACATGTTCCTTTCCCCTTTGTTTCTCTACTTCTAGGCGTACAAGCTTGCCCCTTAAATCATTGATTATTATATCTTTGGAAAGAGAGGATTTTTCTCCTTCGTTTTTCTTCATAACATAGAGATCTGCACTCCTACCAGGAGCTAGTTGAAGGTACCATACACCAGGTGAAACTTTCATTTGCCAGTAACCCAAATTACCCATGACAAGTGTGTCCACTAAGTGAGGCATTTGCCGGGTGCCAAGAATCAACTGAAGGCCTCGAGGTGGATCATGATCCTTCTCAGAACAGTGTCCTACAAAAAGTGCGACATTTTACTTTAAGCTCATATAACACTGACTAAAATCACTACTATTAAGAGATACAACTACTGACCAGTTAGAAGAAGCGCTTCAAGTTCAAAAACCGCCAGTAATGTCCTTGTGTCACCAAGATTCTCGAGCAGTATATTGTCAAGGTCATGTCTAGGAACACACATAACATTATAAGAGGCCTTCATATAAGGAAGATAAAAAGACACAAGAAAAATAGAGCATGTAGACAAATAAAATGAAATCCGATCCCATAGTAACTTACATTGCAATGATTGGTTCAACAAGCCATGGCTCAGGGACATCAAGATTCATTGTGAGGGTTTTGGACAATGGCATGTTTGCAAAAAAAGCTTTAGGGCCATTGACTGAATGATCAATTGAGCTAAAATCATCCTGCAGATAAAAATGACACTTCAGAATATAAATATAAAAAAACAATCAGATATTTTTAGTAATAAGGGTTGAATAGAAATACCATCGATGGAATTACAAATCTGTAGTAGTTTTTCAAAGGAAGATCAACGAGAGAACTCTGCAAAATATCAAAATAGTTGACATACATGTATCATCACTAGTTGACTAAAAACTAACATTAGTGATGCTTTTCTGTTAACCAAAAAGGGATGATCATTGAACACTAGTTAACAGAACGACAACCACTTTAATCTAGCTTGGCTGTTAGTGGAGTAGGCTAGTAAAATGTGTGAAAATTACATCTTTAGAATTTGAGTGAATCTGTTTCATTTAAAATTTTAAAACCACTTAGCACATCATGTTCACACATGTTGCTATGCCGCAGGATGGTTTATGAAGCACTTACAAATAACAAATATAAAAAAGTATTATCATAGGAATAAAGCATGAAAATTTGTGTTAGTGGTTGCATTTTTCATAATGCTCTATGGGCTCTGAATTTTGTGTCCTGGATCTACTGTGAGTTTAGGTGGTTCTAGTCTAAATTTTTGAAAAACAAATTAGGTTGTAAATAAGACACTACCTAAAGATTTTACCCTCATTTATAAGAGTTTATGATATGATTCCATGTTTATCATAAATTTAAGCCCTTATAGTTAATTATCTTTCCCGATAACAAAAGAGAAATTTTGATTAAAACTAGTCATTAGAAACTAAATACTTAGCTCATAGTATAAGCAATTTGGTATATGGTTGCAAAATTCAACACTTACAACTTAAAATAGATGGTGGGGAAAAAGATGAAGAATCCGATCAAGATTCTATGGTTTAATTATCCTGGGTTGTCATGATTTTTTGTATACTTAGGTAGTCGACCCACTTGACTAAACCCTTATCAGCAGCCATTAGTTGTTTATTCCCAAAAAAACTTTCTAGACCTTGGATGAATTTTTATCTAAAGAGATAAATTTAAGTTGATTGTAATAGCTAATAAAGGGCCTTGTGCCCTATCAAGTGCACCCTATGATTTATTACTCAATTATTTTTTAACCATTAGGGAATTTTGGACGTGATCATAATTTAATTGTGACATTTTGCGACAAAACTATTTGATTAGAGGGCTCTGTTAAAAACCGTTTACTTGTGATGTCATTTGGCACTAAAATCATTGTTAGAGTACATGTTTCACATCCTTACTAACAAGAAATCATTTGAGAATGAATCGTACACTCGACAATGCATTGGTCATTTGTGAACCGATGTTATTCTTAAATTTAGTACTCTCAACAAAGGGTCGTAGATAGCGGATGAATTTTTCTTTTAAGCTATAAAGTGATATATTTCGCTTAAATATCATCATTTTCATTGGTTTTTTATTATTTTGTAAAATTTGAATCCCACAATAATTTGCTCTAAGATTTGGAGGCATTTTAAAGATAATCCATTTAGGTTAAGATTCACTTTCAAGACAACAACCATCAGAGTATTTAAATGATCTTATTTTGTTATTTGAACATTTTTAACTCATTCTTCTTGTTAACATAAAATTGGGTTCAAGTATTAACTTTATGAGTAATCAAATGAGCCACAAACTCAAGAGAGTTCGTACTTTTGTAATGAATTTTCTTCCTAGAATGTATTGAAGGCCTAGTGTGAATGTAAAACGAAATATCTTCACAGGTTGTACAATCGCATGTTCATTTGTGAGATAATGATTTACAATTAACCATTTAAAATTTATTGTTTGGGCATCTTCAAAGAAATTCAAATATCGTTGACTCTATTGACCTATATATACGCTCCATGAACAATTTGAACATGAGCGACGAGAATGAAGACCAACTTACGCGACATTGCATGAAACAAATTTGAATAATCTCGATCATAGTCAAAACCACTCAAATGTTGCTCATTTGCAATACAGACTACGTCAACACGTTAGAAGCACTAAAATTATGAAAGGAACATCGTCCATGCTTAAGTTGATCAAACGACGGCGAAAATTGATAGTCTGCAAATGCAATATTGCGCAAGATTGTCCAAATGTAATACATTCATAAAATAGATCACACAATTGCCTCTGGAATGTTAAAATTTCCAAGAAAATGATAGACTATGGATACATTAAATGCAACATTTAGAGCGAATGTGGTAAAAAAATAAAGGACAATGGATGGAACAGTGCGCAAAGTCACCCAAACATCACTCATTTGCAAAACAAACTGCGCTGATGCATCCCGAGTGATGTAGGCAGCTTTACATTAATTGCATGTTGATGTGGGGGGGGGGGGGTCAACTCAAACCCAAAATAAGTTGGTTTTGACTTCCCTTGGGCTTACAAGCTCAATAAACTTTGAGCTGGAATTTAGCTTATTTATGAGCTGGTCTTTAGTTCATTTATTGAACTAAGGGTTAGCTCATTATTAGCTAAGTTTTAAGTTCATTAGTTATCTTAATTAATGTAATTTTTATTATAGTTTTTTATGCTTTAAATTTAAGTTATCCCTTGGGATTCCAAAATGGCTTTTGGAATCCCAAGGTTGTTTGTTTTCCCGTGCCTTGGCTTCCACGGGTTGGCTGTTTGCATGTCTTGGCTCCTTGGTTCCCACGATGGGCTGCTGGTTTTCCGAGCTGGGGGCCTTTCCGTGTTTGTTGGCGCCTCGGTTCTGTGTGGGCCTCTTTGGTTCCCGTGGCTGCTTCTTCGGTTCCCTGGTCGGGCTGTTTTCCCGTGAAAAGCAGGGGGCTTTTCCGTGGCTTGTGATGTTTGGATTCCTATGGGAATAAAATTTTGCGGCTGTTTGTATTCCCCCTTTCATACCTATAAATATGAGGGGTTATGTAATGTTTTAAAGAGATATATATGAATTTTTTGAAATGTAAACCTGCGGGTTTCTTCTTGGAAAAGCTCGAAGCTTTGTCCACCTTCTTCCTCCACCTCTTTGGAAATCTTGCGAGCTCTTTCCACCCTTCTTCTCGGCTTCTAACCTCTTTCGTCTCTCCGCAAGTGACCACCCCAACTGTATCCCTCTTCTCAAAAGTAAAGTAAGTTCAGGGTGTCCTTTATTAGAGTCAAGTTTAAGAAGAGTTCAAAGTTTTTAAGTCGTTGTATGTAAGTCTTTTTGATTTCTAAGTCTTTCTTTTATTTGAAATGTAAGAGTTTGTTCGTTTAATTACGTAGGAGTCCTTTTCTTTTATCTAGTCAAGGCCGTTTACCCTATTTTTGTGGGCGGAGGTCCTCGGGTCCCCCATCCCCCGGATTCTTGCCCGCATCATTTGGTATCAAGCAAGTTAAGAAGTCCTAGGTTGGTTTGTCAAGTCAAGTCTTGTTGTAAGTTTTGTGAATCTTGTGAGTCTAAATTTTTTAGGTTGAGTCTTTTGAGTCTTGTTTGTTGAGTCTTTCATTTAAAAAATGGAAAAAGAAAAAAAAATTTGAAAAAAGCAAGTCAGATGAAATTGAAGATCCTATGGATAGATGGATTCCATCTGAATCGACAAATCCTTTGTTGTATGAACTGTACAAACTTCAATCTTGGATACACTTATGTACAGAAAGGTATATGAAGAAGAAACATCGTTTACAAGATCAATTTATGAAAGAACAATAAGAGATCCTGAAGAAATATGAAGAAAAGATCAAAGAGTTGGATGCTCCGTCTTCACCTCCTCCAAAGAAAGCAAAAGCTAACTCATCGGGAGATGGGTTCTCAAGAAGGGGAGTCTGATGTAAGCGAAAAAGGATTCATGTAGCCGACCACCACGTAGTGGGATAAAGGCTTAATGTTGTTGTTGTTGCTGCTTTTAGTATGCTTTGTTTCGAGATTCTGTACTTTCCAACTCTTTTTATACTTTCTCAATTCTCTGTCCTGGATCTTCTCCTTGAAAGTTAAACTGACCATTATGCCTTTCAGGTGTATTGCTACAACCTGTGCACTTTACATTAATTGCATGTTGATGTAGGCAGGGGGGGGTCAACTCAAACCCAAAATAAGTTGGTTTTGACTTCCCTTGGGCTTACAAGCTCAATAAATTTTGAGCTGGAATTTAGCTCATTTATGAGCTGGTCTTTAGTTCATTTATTGAACTAAGGGTTAGCTCATTATTAGCTAAGTTTTAAGTTCATTAGTTATCTTAATTAATGTAATTTTTATTATAGTTTTTTATGTTTTAAATTTAAGTTGTCCATTGGGATTCCAAAATGGCTTTTGGAATCCCAAGGTTGTTTGCATGCCTTGGCTTCCACGGGTTGGCTGTTTGCATGCCTTGGCTCCTTGGTTCCCACGGTGGACTGCTGGTTTTCCGAGCTGGGGGCCTTTCCGCGTTTGTTGGCGCCTCGGTTCTGTGCGGGCCTCTTTGGTTCCCGTGGCTGCTTCTTCGGTTCCCTGGCCGGGCTGTTTTCCCTTGAAAAGCAGGGGGCTTTTCGGTGGCTTGTGATGTTTGGATTCCTATGGGAATAAAATTTGTGTGGCTGTTTGTATTCCCCCTTTCATACCTATAAATATGAGGGGTTATGTAATGTTTTAAAGAGATATATATGAATTTTTGGAAATGTAAACCTGCGGGTTTCTTCTTGGAAAATCTTGCGAGCTTTGTCAACCTTCTTCTTCCACCTCTTTGGAAATCTTGCGAGCTCTTTCCACCCTTTTTCTCGGCTTCTAACCTCTTTTGTCTCTCCGCAAGTGATCACCCCATATGTATCCCTCTTCTCAAAAGTAAAGTAAGTTCAGGGTGTCCTTTATTAGAGTCAAGTTTAAGAAGAGTTCAAAGTTTTTAAGTCGTTGTTTGTAAGTCTTTTTGATTTCTAAGTCTTTCTTTTATTTGAAATGTAAGAGTTAGTTCGTTTAATTACGTAGGAGTCCTTTTCTTTTATCTAGTCAAGGCTGTTTACCCTATTTTTGTGGGCAGAGGTCCTCGGGTCCCCCATCCCCCGATTCTTGCCCACATCATTTGGTATCAGAGCAAGTTAGGAAGTCCTAGGTTGGTTTGTCAAATCTTGTTTTGGTTTGTCAAGTCAAGTCTTGTTGTAAGTTTTGTGAATCTTGTGAGTCTAAGTTTTTTAGGTTGAGTCTTTTGAGTCTTGTTTGTTGAGTCTTTCTTTTAAAAAATGGAAAAAGACAAAAAAATTGAAGAAAGCAAGTCAGATGAAATTGAAGATCCTATGGATAAATGGATTCCATCTGAATCGACAAATCCTTTGCTGTATGAACTGTACAAACTTCAATCTTGGATGCACTTATGTACAGAAAGGTATATGAAGAAGAAACAGCGTTTACAAGATCAATTTCTGAAAGAACAAGAAGAGATCCTGAAGAAATATGAAGAAAATATTAAAGAGTTGGATGCTCCGTCTTCATCTCTTCCAAAGAAAGCAAAAGCTAACTCATCGGGAGATGAGTTCTCAAGAAGGGGAGTCTGATGTAGGCAGGGGGGTCAACTCAAACCCAAAATAAGTTGGTTTTGACTTCCCTTGGGCTTACAAGCTCAATAAATTTTGAGCTGGAATTTAGCTCATTTATGAGCTGGTCTTTAGTTCATTTATTGAACTAAGGGTTAGCTCATTATTAGCTAAGTTTTAAGTTCATTAATTATCTTAATTAATGTAATTTTTATTATATTTTTTTATGTTTTAAATTTAAGTTGTCCTTTGGGATTCCAAAAGCCATTTTGGAATCCCAAGGTTGTTTGTTTTCCCGTGCCTTGGCTCCTTGGCTTCCACGGGTTGACTGTTTGCATGCCTTGGCTCCTTGGTTCCCATGGTGGGCTGCTGGTTTTCCGAGCTGGGGGCCTTTCCAAGTCTGTTGGCGCCTTGGTTATGTGCGGGCCTCTTTGGTTCCCGTAGATGCTTCTTTGGTTCCCTGGTCGGGCTGTTTTCCCGTGAAAAGCAAGGGGATTTTCCGTGGCTTGTGATGTTTGGATTCCTATGGGAATTCAATTTGTGTGGCTGTTTGTATTCCCCCTTTCATACCTATAAATATGAGGGGTTATGTAATATTTTAAAGAGATATATATATAAATTTTTGAAAATGTAAACCTGCGGGTTTTTTCTTGGAAAAGCTTGTGAGCTTTGTCCACCTTCTTCCACCTATTTGGAAATTTTGCGAGCTCTTTCCACCCTTCTTCTCCGCTTCTAACCTCTTTCGTCTCTCCGCAAGTGACCACCCCATCTGTATCCCTCTTCTCAAAAGTAAAGCAAGTTTAGGGTGTCCTTTATTAGAGTCAAGTTTAAGAAGAGTTCAAAGTTTTTAAGTCATTTTTTGTAAGTCTTTTTGATTTATAAGTCTTTCTTTTATTTGAAATGTAAGAGTTTGTTCGTTTAATTACGTAGGAGTCCTTTTCTTTTATCTAGTCAAGGCTGTTTACCCTATTTTTGTGGTCGGAGGTCCTCGGGTCTCCCATCCCCCGGATTCTTGCCCGCATCACCGAGCGTTGAAATTTGTGCTTAATCATTGATACTCCATCTCTGCTCCCTAAACTAACGACCAGCCAAACCTCATATGCAACTTTTCTTTCTTTTCTTCTCTAATCAGAGAGAAATCCTCTCTCCATCTTTCTTTTTCCACTCTCCCTATATAATTTTTTATCTATAACTCTCTCTCCTCTCTTCTCTCCCTCTTTAAACAAAAAGAAATTGTCCTCTCTCTAGCCATCAATCCCTCTGCTCCTCTCTAAAACAGAGAGAAAATCTCTCTCCAGGCCTCTCAACTTTCTCCCTAAATTTCCCTCTCTAAACAAAGATCCCAAACCATTCTTTAACTTCTATATCTCTCTAAAAATCTCCCCTCCCTTACCAAAATAGAGAGTAAACTAACTATCTTTAGCCCCCACTCTCTCTCTCTATCTCCTCTCTTCTTTCCTCCCTCTAATCAGAGAAATCTAAAAAGAAACAACAAAAAAAGAGAAAAGAGAAGTAAATTTCAAAAAAAAAAAAAAAGTGTTATCACCCTGCAAATTCCTCATTGTTCTCTTTTCACTACTTGACGCATGAAATTATAAACTGTCAAATATTCAAAATCTCCAAAATCCTAAATGTGATGCATTCGGTACAATAAGCGGAAACCATGTACTCTTTTCGTAACATGGCTGGGGAACTCATAAGCGATGTTTGTAAAGCGACGAGTAGGCTTTGTACGCACTTTTATTAACACAACAATGAAAATTTAAGTACCTATGCATGTCTTTCTTAACAATAAATAAAATCATTGCAGTTCTAAGCAAGTACACGAAAACACATACATATCTTTCCAAATGTGGGTAGATAGAAGACCCCCGACCACTGTGTCCTATGGAACCAATTATACACGCTTTTTTTGGTGTGGTGAGAAAGCCTAACATTGCTTATAAAAGTTAAAATAAAACCCACCCACCGTCAACAAACATTTGTCAAAAGTGAAATTAAAGAATAATATCAACTTACAAAGAGCAAGTGTCTTATCAAATGTATTGTTATGACTCGCTTTCAAACAATCTCTCACTAGCAAAGAAGTGGCATATGCCATCTAATAGATGGTGCAATCGCCAAATGATACCACAGATAAACACTTGTAATTGAGACCCTTTGTTCAAGTAGTTTTGTCATAAAATGTCACTATTATATTATGATCACAACCAAAGTATTTATGTTTCCCAACAACTTGATAAGGAATCATAGAGAATACTTGATAGGGCACGAACTCCTCTTTTAGTTAAGGTCAACTTGAATTTGTCTCTTTAGAAAAAAATCCACGCCAAGTCTACAAGGTTCCCTTAGAAGAAGTAACTAATGGTTACCATCAAAGATCCTTAGATCATGTTCAATCAACTACCTCCGCTGATTAAGTAGACTAGGGATAATAACCACCCAAGACGAAAGAACCACTGGATCTTGATTGGATATGTCATCATTCTCATCCATCTTATGTAAGTTCAGGGTGATAAATTTTAAACCCTACACCAACTTAATATTACTATACAATGAATACATAGTGTCTATTTAATGACTAACCTTAATCAAAAGTTCTCTCATCATCAAGAGGGAAATTAACCATGGAAGTTTACGCCTATGAACATTTAAAATCATATAATAAAGTTCTTGTAAATAAAAATAAAATATCTTGGTTGAGTTTTATCTTAAATATAATTTGCATTCTGAAATTTTGACCCGGAACATTCACTAAAACTCTCCCAAAAATATTTTGGAGTGAATTTCTAAAGTTCATAGACTCCAATTCTTACACAAAGGACGATTGAACTTGAAATATGAGGATCACACCTCTGCCTATAAGCAAAGCGACTTGCTTAAAACATGATTATCAATTGATAAATTTAACTTTAAAAGAAGCTTGTGTAATTTAAAATTTGCATGCTTCTCAAGGAGGCAAAGTTTATTTTGACATTACTTTCAATCCGTGCAACATTCTCGAACATTAAATTTGAGCATTTAGTATGTTCCTTGTAGTACATGCCAATATATTTGATTTTAAAAAGAGAGTTTGCTTATTTAAGAATGATTATAAATTTTACATAGCAATTACATGCTCTTCAAAGAAAGAAGAGTTTGGGTTCACTTTCAATTTTTGCTCGTGCAACATTCAAAACTCCAAATTTGGATGTATACACATTTATTAGAACACATGCGGGCAAAGTTTGTTTTAGGTGATTTGATGTGACAAGCATGCTTTTTGATGCATTTGCTAGTCATACTAACATGTTCTCATGGTGCATTTGTACAATTCATTTTGGATGTTCCCCAGTGCAATTATACAATGCACCTACATACTTGCATGATCTCCAGTGCGCTTGGATGCTTCTCATTATATTTGCATGTCCATTTTTGCGTTTTCACAAAGCACGTCATTTTGTGCCTTCACAATTCATATAGTGAACGCACAGACAAAACTACTTATGAAGATTTGATGTATCGTACATCTCTTGTCGAAATAATCATGTGAGGATGCATAAAGCACTACTTTCTAATATTAAAAAAAATTATTTATGTCGAAATAATCATGCGAGGATGCATAAAGCACTACTTTCTAATATTAAAAAAAAATTATTTATGGGGTGAGTTGTTCATTCATAAACGTACAATATATTCACATACAACTCGTGACGTGCACAAGTTGGACAGTTCCATTTTGTTTGAAGGCAATTCGTGTTCACGGAACTATTTGATATGTCCAAGAGTCTGATGTAGCAGCTGCACAAATAAATATGTTGTTCTTTGGAACATGCACATGACTTTCCATTTTACTTCGAGTGGGCCCTATAGGTGATCATTTTTTCAATTATAACTAGAAGCCCATTTAGTATATTTTTGTTCTCAGTTCATCTCATTGAGTGTGTTCTTCAGAATTTGGAGTATTCAAGTGAGCTTTTCATAGTAGTGAGGGGACTCTGTACTCGCAAGCGAGCTCTCAAAATCATGATAGGTCCACTTGTTCAAAAAACTCCTTATGAAAGGAATGACCATTAATAACAAAATCAATTGCTCAGAAAACAACACAGAGGATCGAACAAAACAAACCCCTAGGTGGAACAGAACAAGTTTTGAATAAAAAGACTGAGATTGCTACAAACTTTCTAAGTCAATTTAATTCCTTAGCACAGGAAACTCTGCTCTTGAGAAAGGTATAAGATTGAAAAAAAAAAGAGGAAAAAAAAAAGCTTTTGTTCATAAAAGGATGCAACTGTTTAATAATGAATAGATACTTTTAAATTATTAAAGTGCAGAAAATAAATGCCGTCAACTAGCAAATTGGTTACATTGAACAGACTAACATGGGTAAGATCAATGGGAAAACAAAACACTCCTTAATATTACAAATATTGATTAGGTCACATTACTCCAATAATAGGGCAAGGGATGCATAATCTTAGCATTTAACTAATGCAGGCTGTGCTCAGAGATATGCATGAATAGCAAATCCACATAATTTAATAATACTTAAGGGCTGAAGCTTACCATTGGATTAAGTACAATTCTCATGCTTGGCTGTATACGTTTCCAAAGTAGAAGAAGAAGCGGAGCAAGTTTTTGCCCTGAAGCACTTAAAGGGTCGATGACAACATCAATATGTATGCTAGAATTTCCACTGTTCAAAATGATGGCACTGCAAAACTCAAAAATAGATGTTGTTTCAGAAGAAGCGTCAGCGCATTTATCATTGATATGATGCATCCAGCCTTATGAGCATAGGAAGTCACCTTAGAGATGAACAAAATTGAAAACCAGAATTAAAAATAGAACAGAAGTTGGATCACATAATTGATTTAAGGTCCCCGGTACATGGCTAATCAAAAAAGTATACAAAATAACACAAACTTAAGGATAAGTTTCATTCCTAAAAAACATCATTACGCAATTGTGAATAAAAATGCAGCAAGTCCGAATTAATATACTTTAGTTGATTTCTGGTTTTTCTCAAAAGGAATTCAATGAATACCTGCAGCTGCCACATCAGGAAAACTCCTCATACTGCCGTGGAAAGGAATGCTCCTGCTTTCACTTAACGGCGTAATCTCCTAATTCTAGGTGTTGATGATGTATTAAATAGGTTTATTGGTTATCAATTGAACAGCTGGTCTTAAAGGCTAATACCTTATTTGTCATTATAAAGATTATAACTTATCTGTATCGCTGTCAGAAAGGTATTGGAAGCAAATCTAACCAGCATTCATATTTCCAAGATTTGCTAATTGTTTATTCAGGAACTGAGATTTTTTTTAAAGCCTCAAATAAAAAGAAATTAAAAGAACTCATAGAATTAAAAAAATTTCCTAAATATGGCATAAACCATAGATTAACTTGGTACATCAACGTAAATCACAAAATTACACCATAAGAAAAGTAAATTAAACCATAAAATAAACTATGAGGATCAAGATCCACAATGCAGTGACAAATCTCACTCACATGGTAGTCAAAACCCTCCCAACTCACAAATCTCCCACTTTTCCCTGCTTTGTGCCACTCATCACTCCCCTTTCACTTACTACGTTCCGAACTACAACCTCTCTCTCTCTCTCTCTACTCTAACAATTCTAACCTAAATATTTAAAATAGGATATAACATAATGTAGATATATGATACAACAAAAGATTTTGTTTTAATCAGTATTGATTTGAGGCATCGTCTCAAACACAAAAAAAATGCAATCCTCACTGGTTTCTGGGCGTAAGCCTCGTAATGGTTTCTGGGCACCTCATGGTGGGGTGTACCTCAAGGCAGACGCCTTGAATAACTTTCTCACCATATTTTATTCCTAAGAAGTGAGTTGTACTACAATTACAAATATGAAATCCATGTTATCAGTTTGAACACAACATAAATAAAACTTTCTATTCCCTTTTTTTTTTTTGGGTTTATTCCTAAGAGAGTTGATCAACCATTTGTCATAAAATTAGTATGTAGCCACAAATAGTATTTAAGATGCAAACTTGTAATGTGTTCTAACCCTGACCTGCTACTGTGACCATGACAACCAGAAAATTTAATCCATCAACTGTTCTAAAAAAAGCTATAGTCATTCCAACATAAACCAAAGGAGAATTGTTGAACAAGAAATTAAAGATGACCCACGATTATACAGAGGAGCAGAGTTTTAAATGTTAAATATGTTATAAATAACAAAGCAACAATTGTAAGGCAAGTTTTTCCGAAAACACATTTTGAAATGCATTATAGGACCAAATAAATATTCCAATGAATGACCAAACTTTAAAAAGAAGAGCCCAACTACATGAACAAATTAACTAACGCAAAATATCTACTTCATTTAGAACATCAACTGCATTACCAAGTCCGATATTCATCTATTTAACAGCTCTATTGTGTAATATAGCATGAATCCTTCACAAATTCAACATTTCGAATGAAAACTTTGGCAATGCATGAAAATACAATGCCCAGGAAAGGAAAAACTTTGTGTTATCCACAAAATTTGCATAGTTATATCCCACACTAAGCAGCCTATAATAATATATATATAATATTAATTTATATTATATATATATATATATATATATATATATATATAATTAAATAAAGACTTATAAAAGTAGTATACTAGAAGCGAAATTTTCCAGATATTAGTCACGATCAGAAGAATAAAAAATGTTTCTTATAGGTGGAAAAGAGCAGTAAAGACCTGTGCTATTGCATTAAGAACTTCAAAAGGGCTCATATGGACTTCCTCTCACGATTAGACAATTGGCAGATGAACCAACAATGATTAGATCTTGTCAAAAGTTACTAGCAAACAAAAATAAAATAAAATGTCAAAAATTGAAAGTGTGGACAGTATAAGGATGGAGAATTACCATGAAGTATTAACTAGCCAAATGAACTAAATAATCGGTATTAAACAAAGAAGGAAATATTAAAAATAAACATGACATTGAAGGGCATACAGACTCTGATTTCTCACTTTATTTTTGAATATATAAATTTTTGAGTATTTCACTATTACTACTAGTTGTGTTCTTTTTGCAGCTCTCTAGCAATCCATGTTTTTTCTAACAACCTAAACAAATTATAAATAACATTCATATAATATGTTAGTGACTATTTGAGCTTTTATCTTGAATGGTACTAATTTAAGCGATCTACATAAAGAAATGGAAAACATACAGCGTGGAGTCTAACTAGACCTGAGGATGATCATATGATCATATTGCATCTCAAAGGGAAACAACAAGGCAAGAAAGAGGCCATCCATATATATATATTATATTTAATAAAAAAAAAAAAAATATATATATATATTATATATATGATATATATAATATAATATATAATATATATATATGAAAGACTTGGCAGATAAACTAATTATTGCTGAAGAAGTACATTGAGAGATTCCCATGCTAAATGCCATGAAGGAATTTAATAACAGCATTCAAGCAAAAAAATTGATATGCATATGTCAGTAAGAAGGACTCCAAAACAAAATTCAAAAATTTAATAGAGTGTGTTCGAAGAAGCTAAACACTAAGAATAAAGAGCAGTGCTTGAATACTGAACTAACATTTCCAGCAAACAGTGATGAAATTGGGGACAAACTATTAAAGGTAAAGCTGTTAACAAAGAAGGTGTGTGACAGCATTATTGAATTGAAACAATCAGTTGGGTAACTACTTATTGCTAGTTAGAGCAAATTAAACGTAACCACAAAGTGTGTCCCTTTCCACATCTGAAGAACTCTTGATGTCGACATGGATGGCAATTGCTGCTGGCCACCAATGACTGAAAAGTCGCCATACAATTCAAGGGCATGTAGTTTTGTGAGGATACTGAAAGCATAAGTTCCACCTGATAACATTTCACTGAGTTAATGGGATTTTCATTATGATAACTATGCATGTTAGATGGGTCTGTTCTATGAACATAAATTTATTTTTTTAAACATGAATACTGTTAAGAACCGGTCCACTGGCCGGTAGCGGTCAGGCGGGACGCTCAGGCACAAACAGGGCGGAAGTTTCTTTCCGCCCGCTGGGATGACGAGCGAAGCATACGAACGTGCGGAGGCCAATAGGAAAGCATTTTTGGGGAGATTTAAGAGGGAAATTTGAATGTAGGACTGTTCGTTAGCGGATATACCTTTTGTTTGTATGCATTAAATAAATGTTTATATTCTAGGGTTTTGAGTATTTGAATTTGGCTGAAAAATTTGAGATAAACTCGTAGATTTCGGTTTTCTTAATGGGCTCTAAAAGCGGGTCTAGAATTTGGGAAGAGATCGATCCAATCCTCGAATTGAGGATCGATTGAATCTTGCTATTTTCTCGTTTGGCCCCCAACTTTAAACAAAGTAAAATTAAAAAAAACAAAAAGGTATTATTCTAATGATTTTCTCAATTTTCCCTGCTTTCCTACTGGTTTTTGGCTGTTTTTCTGCTGTGCAACAGCAGTCTTACATTGGATTAAACTTGGTATTTGGTGAGAAAACTTGGAAAATCAAGTGTTTTGTCTAATCAATTGGTATCAGAGGCATCGATGTTGGGACCATCGGCGGCTTGAAATATGCAAAAATATATAAGCGAGGGTTATTTGCTTACGGAGGAAGATTTCTTGTGAATTCGTAAAGAAAAATGGCTGGACAAGAGAATTGAGTCCTAAGCGAATTTGGCCAAATATAAAAACAGTAGATTATGAGGAAAAATATCCTTAAATACCGCCAACAATGAAAGTTGGAAGGGAGGTTTCGCGGCGATGGAAGAGATGAATGAAAAAATTACTTGAGATGAAGACGAATCCGACGGCGTTGGAAGCAAGAGAGCTGTCGGCGACCAGGGCGGGAGGAAATCCAAACCCGCTTCGGGGGAAGGAGGAATCCGGCAGCCAGAGATCCTTGAGGGAGAGGACAAGACATGCCATTTCTAGAGCCACTTTCGTAGAGAGGAAGATGAGATCGGGGAACTGATCGTCGAGGTGCCTGATTTTCAGCTGTCGAGGTTGTGATTTTCAGAGGCGTCGAGGGGGCTGATTTTCAGCGTCAGGGTGCTGATTTTTGAAGGCAGGAGGGGGGAATAATGAGGGAAGTGGCAAGATTTTTGGAGAAAAGAAAGAGAAGAATAATCAGCGTCGACGAGTGCATGATGTTTGAAAGGGGAGAAGGAGAATATAGAATGACAGGAATCGCTCGAGATACAACGTGCGGAGGAGGACCGCGGGGACTTGGGCAGAAAACTATAATTAAACGAGGAATGGGAAAGGCTTATTGCGCAGGTACCGGGGGTAACGGAAGGATACGAAGGTGGGAGGAAGTTGAAGATGCCCATCTTTGTTAGGGTTGAAGATGGCCATGGCTGGATCTACATAAGTGGACAGCGTTACATAAGTAAAATCGCTGTCAACAGGGATTAAGAGATGAAAAATTGACAAGCTAGCACGGATCTGTTCATGGAAGGAAAGCTCTGGCATGGTATCAGTGGCGTACAGGAAGGAGCCCATCCGGAACTCGGAAGAGGTTCAAAAAGGATTGCTTATTAGCAAAGAAACATAAATAATCCAAACCGAACGGGGGAGAGGAGACTTACATGAGCAAATTTCTTGCCTTTGGACTATCAAGAAGGAAACTGTTGGCGATTGGTGGGATTGGGTTTGAG